GTATGACTCTTTTCAAATCCCAGCCAACCAGGGATCACTTAGCAGATGCATCAATTTCACAGCTCTAGTCAGGTCTGGCTACCCGGCGATGTTAGTGGGTGTCTGGCTCCTGTTCCAAAACACAATGGCAGTGGCTCTTACTTGCAATTAAGGAAGCCTCACTTATTTGAGCTAATAGCAGTACCAGCTCAGCAGCAAGCACAGGGTCCAGAAGTCAAGACTCCAGGGTACATTAGCAAGGCATGAGGTTCATAATAGAACAGAAGCTTTGAAGATGTCCCAGCAGGTGACATACCCCTCCTGTCAATTTTCTTTTTAACCCTATGAGCCTGCTCCACATGCAATGCCTTTCTGTCTCCAGCTCTGACGCCACCTCCTCCTGTTCTACTCCTTCTTCTGGCAGGTCAAAGTCCGCCCCCCCCTACCCACTGGAGGGGCAGACCTGCTTCTTCCTCTATGACAGGCTTCCTCAACCTCGGCCCTCCAGATGTTTTTGGCTTGCAACTCCCATGATCCCTAGCTAGCAGGACCAGTGGTCAGGGATGATGGCAATTGTAGTCTCAAAACATCTGGAGGGCCGAGGCTGAGGAAGTCTGCTCTATGATATCTGGAGTCACAAGGGGAGGAACTCTCTTCTCCATCCCAGAATGCTCTTGTCCCTGCCCCCATCAGCTAATCCTTATTCTGCATCTGGGGCTGCCAAATTATAACAATTCCTGGTGGATTTGAGGGGTTCCATGACAGTGAATGGAAATGAAATAAGTGATTTTGTCTTAATTTGGAATTTCCCTGGAGCCAAAGGCAAATGGTCTAACAATAGGATTGGATAAGCCTAAGTCTATTCCATGTCAGTTTGTCTGGTACTCAGTCACACACCTGTCCTGTTTTTGATGGACTTTCTGAAAGAACACACACACACACACCTTGCAAATGTTATGCATTTCGCGCACACTCTTCCATAAAATACACATTTTTGGGCAATGCTTTGCAATGTGTTCCACACACACATACCATATCATGCATTTTTAACATAAAATATGGATTTACTGTGCACACACTTTGGAAACAAAACTGCACTGTCAAATCACAGGAAGTGTGTCATCTGAATTACACTTGTATTCTGATCCACAAACACCTTTGGGAACATCAAATCAGGTTGGTCCACTGAAAAAAGCAGACCAAACAGATTCCTCCCTATCCCCAGCCAAACCTCCCTGCTTTGCAGTTCAGCATGGCAACACGAAAAACTTCAGTCCTTGTTGCCTTAGCAACTGGGAGGCTCTGTACAGAACAGTCTGCTCACCTGGCCAGGTAGCCAGGCAGAAAGTGACTTGCATACCTACAGGAAAGAGCAGGCTGGCACCCTGAAAGGAATCAGCTAGGGCATAGCCCAAATTTCTCAGAAAAGAAGATTGTGAGGAATTATCTGAGCTCCCTCCCCCTACAAACTGTTTGAGAATTCCAAGCCCCTGTGGAGAATATTTAGCAGACTAGCCCAGCCAACTTCTTCACTGGGGTTTAGGCTAGGGAATCTTGCTCTGAGCTTTGGATACAACCAGAGCAGGCTCAGTCATTTGGCAGGGTGAAGCCGCTGCTTCGGGTGACAGAAGTCTTTCAGATGGCACACCCGTGGGCGCCCTGCTTACCCCACCACTTCCACCAGTGGCAGGGAAGCAGTGCTGATTTGCGGCAAGACCACATCCATTTTGAGCAAGATCTCACCCCAAATCAGCTTGATTTTGCTTGATTGGTGCCGTTGGCAGTGGTGCTTCTCCATCAACAGCAGAAGCAGCAGGTTACATAGGGGCAGTAGAGCAGTGGCAGCAGGAGCACGAAGAGGGGGCAGGAGCAGCAGCAGTGACATCTCTTTTTAAATGGGATGGGCTGCTCCTGGATACAACTCAGTATAATTTAACCCATTTAGAAGCATAGGTGGTGGTCTCAGCTCCTTCCAGTCCTCCTTTTTTAAGCCAATGACTTCCTTCATCTCCCAGTCTGAACTGGCAATGATGCTTCTTTCAACAGTAAAAGGTAAAGGGACCCCTGACCATTAGGTTCAGTCGTGACCGACTCTGGGGTTGCGGCAATCATCTCGCTTTATTGGCCGAGGGAGCCGGGTTACAGTTTCCAGGTCATGTGGCCAGCATGACTAAGCCGCTTTCTGGCAAACCATAGCAGCGCACGGAAACGCCGTTTACATTCCCACCAGACTGGTACATATTTATCTACTTGCACTTTGACGTGCTTTCAAACTGCTAGGTTGGCAGGAGCTGGGACTGAGCAACGGAAGCTCACCCCGTCGCGGGGATTCGAACCGCCAACCTTCTGATCGGCAAGCCCTAGGCTCTGTGGTTTAACCCACAGCACCACCCGTGTCCCCTTCTTTCAACAGTAAGTGAGCTTAATTGCCCCAGGAAAGAGTTTCAAGAACAGGGGTTTTTTGTGTTTTTTGTTTTCTCTTCCACTGCACCCAAACCACTGGAGAATGCCATGTTCTCCTACATAAGAAGAGCCCTGATGAATCAGGTCATGTAACCCAGCTTCTCCTTCTCACAGATGCCTCTGAGAAGACTGCAAGCAGGACCTGAGCACAGCAGCATTCTCCCCTCCAGTTCCCCAAAACTGGCATTCAGAGACATACTTCCCCCAACCTTGGAGGGAGAACATAGACACCTTAGACACGGCTAGCCTTCTCCTCCAAGAAGTTGCTTGATTCTCTTTTAAAGCCATCCAAGTTGGTTTCCATCTCTAACTTTGGTGGAAGCATATTCCATAGCTTATCAATGTGTTGTGTGGAAAAGGTGCTTCCTTTCATCTCACCTGAATCATCATCATCATCATTTATATCCCATCCATCTGGCTGGGTTTCCCCAGCCACTCTGGGCGGCTCCGAACAGAATATTAAAAAAACCGTAAAACATCAAACATTAAAAACTTCCCTAAACTGCCTTCAGATGTCTTTTAAAGGTAAGATAGTTGCTTATTTCCTTGACATCTGATGGGAGGGTGTTCCAGAGGGCAGGTGCCACTACTGAGAAGGCCCTCTGCCTGGTTCCCTGTAACCTCACTTCTCACAGTGAGGGAACCACCAGAAGGCCCTCAAAACTGGACCTCAGTGTCCGGGCTGAATGATGGGGGAGGAGACACTCCTTCAGGTATACTGTGCCAAGGCCGATGAGGGCTTTAAAAGTCAGCCCCAACACTTTGAATTGTGCTTGGAAACATACACAGCAAGAGATGTTAGCTATAGCAGAGTTCTGATATTGTGCGAGAGAGAAATGTTTCTCTATCCACTATCTCCACCTCGTGCATAATCCTATACACCTTTGCAGTGTCCCGCATCAAATTACCCTTCTTCCCAGCTAAAAAGCCCCAAGTGTTGTAACCTAGGAGAAACTAGGGAAAGTTGCTCCAACGCCTTGATCTTTTCAGTTGCCCATTTCTGAATATCTCCCAACAATGCGAATTTCCTTTCTGAGGCAAGGCGACCAGAACAGTAAAGAAAACTGTGCCAGAACTGATGACCCTAGCTAAGTAATTAATAATGGAAAATATGAAATACACCAGTATGTAATTAAATCTTGTTTGACTCCCAGGAAATTGAGTTCAGCAGTTCAACTCTCTCAAAGGTTGTCACATGAAACAGGGAACAAGCTTTTTTTCTCCTGCTCTGGAAGGTAGGACTCGAACCAGTGACTTCAAATTATAGCAAAGGAAATTCCAAGTCAACATCAGGAAGAACTTTCTGACAGTAAAAGCTGTTTGGCAGTAGAATGGTCTCCTTCAGGAGGTTGTGGATTCTCCTTCCTTGGAGATTTTTTAAGCAGAGATCGGATGGTCATCTGTCATGGATGCTTTAGCTGAGATGCCTGCATTGCAGGGGGTTGCACTAGATGACCCTTGGGGTCCCTTCCAACTCACAATCCTATTATTCTATGAAACGTAAACCCCTTCAAGTCCTTCTCTACAAAGATGGTCACAACGGTTTTTCAAACAAATCCAAATGATGCACCTTTCACTGCAATGAGCAAACTCCTGGGCACTTTATCCTATGAAGATTGTAACACCGCATTGGACTTAACAGGAATAATTTTACAGAGGGGGTGAAAAAACACAGGGAAGTATATGGATTGCAAGGCTAGAAGCCCCAGAAGAGCAAGACACTGTCTAATAGCTTTTTAAAGTGTGGGGGTTGCAGCCGGGCATTCAGCTTCAGAGCCAGCGCTGGAAAAAGAGAGCTAGGCAGCCAGGGACCATCTCCCTGATGCCGCATAAATAAGAAAGTTACTTCAGGCAGCATGAAAAATCAGAAGCAACTTCAAAGGCATTAGAGCTCCCTATCTGTGTCAAACTGAAGCTCTAAGCATTCAGCGTTGCCCTCCTATTAAAGATGAACTTTTGTACTCTGCTCGACATCTTAAAAAGCATAAAACATACGTTCATTTGCTTTTCAAGATTTCCCTCGCTCCCTTTGCAAACGATGAGGCTGCCAGGCTATTTGTGACCAAACGAGAGCGCCGTGTTGCTGTGCAAACGAACCTCGGCTAGTCGGAGAATACGGGGAATGGATGTGGCAGGTGATAAGGACGTCGGGAAAGCCCCGCTGGGCCAGGACAAGGGCCCATTGAGTCCAGGGATAGGGAACCTGTGGCCCTCCAGATGTTGATGGGATCCATCCCTGGACATCTCCAGCCAGTATGGCCAAAAGCCGGGGATGATGAGAGCTGGAATCCAATAGCATCTGTAGATCCACCACTGCTGTAAGAGAAGGGCCACAGCTCTCACAAACTGTGCATACTGGAGGTTCATAGAGACAGTGTTTCAAAGAACTAGGACACCAAGTGACTGGTGGCATCACCCACATGACAAATTTGGCCCTCCAGAAGTGAGGAGGCACGGACCTGGCCTGCCAACCAGAAAAGATTTCCCTCTCCATGTCTGCAGGGATCAACAACAGTGGCTCCTCAGGATTCCAGATAGGAACTTTCCCCAGCCCCAGCTGAAGGCACCAGGGATTGAACCATGGACCTTCTGTATTCAAAGCAGATGCTCCACCACTGAGCTAGGCTCTCCCCCTGCCCCATTTCATCTATTTCCTTATGCCAGAAGAGGGATGACAGCTTTCACGTTCCTCAGACTGGAGAGATGACAGCTGAAGGGGGGGTGGATAATAGAGGCATCATTTCCCCCTGGTGTAAAGTCCTACTTTCTTTTGTCCCCTGTCATCTCTGGTCAGACGGCTTGTGCAGATTTTTCAAGCATTACAAACAAAAAAACTGCCAAACCTCTGAAGAGTGGCAATGCTGAGATGAGTGTGAACACCACAAGGAACTATGTCTTTGTCTTACCCTGTTCAACTCCTACCCTTCAGCGCTTCAGCTGATGGCAGGAGCAGATGGGTAGAAGAAATGGGATTCTTCCATGGCTCAGATAGAATTGCATGTCAGAGATGAATTGTGAATCACAAATTATCTGTGTGTGAAGAGAGTGGTAAATCAGGAGTGGGCCAGGAGCATTTTGCAACAGCCCTGGATATAGGAGGTTTTGGTAATTAATAGGGGGAAGAGTGCCAGTGCCATTCATGTACGATTTGGGGCCCCTCCAGATTGGTGGTTTTATTCTGCAACATGTCCTTGACATGATAGTGGTGGAGTTATCCTGGGCCATCCACACCATTCTGCTTTGTTAGCTGTTCTGCAATTCTCCCCCAGTGTTACTGCATTATTGCCAATCTTGTACCAGTGAATACAGGACATGCGCACACACACCTCACCAAGAACACTGGTGGTACAAAAAACATATAAGATTTCAGCAGGAAGCTACCAGACACTTTGGAAATGGAGCCGTGTGACCACCCTGAAACTTTTGCAGGTACAAAAAGCATTGAAAGCAAGGTCACATCTAACTGCCGTGATACCATCACAAGCTGCTCCCCAAATCATGATTGTACAATAAAAGGGACAACCGGGGGGGGGGGGGCTTGGGGTGGCCTAAAAACACCAAACCAACGTAGGTTGACCTGGGAATTTGGGTAGTACAGAGTCCTATTAGCTGGATACAACCCAGTGTGTTTGGTCCTTGTCCAGACTCCTTCTGGACCTGCAAATTGAATGAGAATCTTGGAGAACCCACTTGAACCCAAGAGAGGTTGCCTGCTGTAATAATAAAGAAGGAGAGAGAAGGGGTGGGGGGTGGGATTTTCTTGTGGGAGCAGATCACAGACTCTTGGAAGCTGGATTTGAAAAGGTGGAGAAAACACTGGCGCTTTTTCCAAGCGAGGCTGCTGAAGTTGCAGAAATGCAGGATGTGCAAGGAATAGCAATGGGGCGCTAGGCAGGTACCTGTCACATCCCGGCAAAGGAGAGAGCTGCATAAATGGATGAGATTTCCCCCCTCTTCCCAGTGCCTGGGACAGCTCTGTGTGAAAGCTTGGCGTCCCCAGGATGCCCAGTGAAGCCAGCCCTCCAGCCCTACCTCCTATAGGCAAGCTGAAAGCATATGGGTATCCTCAGGGAAGTGAGAGGCAGCTGCTACCCCAGATCAGACATAATCCCCAGTTTCCAGCTTTCATTTTAATTAAAGAGAAAGTTTCTAGCATTAGCAGAACCAGACATACTAGGCAAACTATACAGGCACTATTCTAATTTTATTTTTTTAATGAAACTAGCCTGCTCCCCCTTATATAGCAGGACAGAGGAATCCCAGGCCCAAGGAACAAATGTGGCCCTCCAAGCTCCCCTACCTGGCTCTCAGGAGTCTTCCCCCACAAGACTCCCTTGGCTTATTTGGACCCCTCCTTGAGTGTTTTTGCCTGACTGGACTTTGCCCTTGAACTCTGACGATGCCACTGGCATCCCTGGATGGAAGATATATTTGGCACTCTGCCTACATTAGCCTCTGACCCCAACCACAACTGGCATGCGGCCCTCAGGACATTGCCAGGAAGGGAATAAGGCCCCCAGGCTGAAAAAAATTCCCTCCCTGTAGTGTAAGATAGTGACAGGACTGGAGTTATCTGCACAGCATAGGGTGTTTTGAGGCACTTGCAGCCCAATTTAAAAGTAATAAAACTGCAATGAATTAAAGGTTTTCTGGTTTGCTATGCCCTGCATTTCACTCTTCCTGGATTCTTGGTTTAAACGGAGTGGTAGTAGTAGTAATAATAATAATAATAATAATAATAATAATAATAATATGGAATTGGAGGCCATCCACTTTGCTTCTTCATATTTTTTTTTTAGTTTGCTCGCATCATTTTTTCCTGCTCTGCTCTACCCCAGCTCATGTACACAGTGATAAGGACAAAAGCAATCTTGATGTTTACATACATATAATTACTTTAAGATCCTTTTTCTTGCCCCAAGCATTTTTATTATTATTCAGGATGACAAACAAAATAATCCATTGTTTACCAAAAAAAAAAGAAAAGAAAAAAGAGAACCCTTCCAGGCCTTATATTTCTGTAATTTACACTGCCGTAATTAACAAAGCAAGTCTATCTCTCTGCAAAATTAACCTTTTGAAGACCACTGCTTCTCTATGAAGTCCAATTTATGCATAAATGCCAACTCTAAAACTTCATTCTCATATATATGGGACTTGTCGGCATTTCCACCTGTCTGTCTGTGCAATCTTTATAGCTGTTAACATGGCTGTTCTGTAGGATTACTAAAGATTCTCCTTGATCACATAAATGAACTCTGTGCTTGCTATTATAGTGTATTTTATTTGCCTCCAAAAATCCACAAGCCATCTGACACTCCCATGTCGTGTGAAGCAAATAACCATGCGTTAACTGAGCAATACCAATATTTTAAGCAATGGATACATATGAAATGTTTATATTGGTTCACACCAAAATGGTGATGAATTTTCATGAGAATACTTAAAAAAAAATAATCACAAACAGATGAGGAAACATGGAGAACCAAATTTAAGATTGGAGAAACTGAGAGAAACCAAAATAGAATCACCCATCCCTACTCCAAAATCAAGCTTGATTGGTCTTTCTTTAGTTGCCTTCCAGACCTACAAATCTATGATTGATGGCTAGCTAAAATAACTCAGCACTTGTGTTTCTTACTAGATTCTCAACATGTTACTGCTTTATAAAACATTGGGTGGCGGCTGACCAAGGTGCTTTTCCTTCCATGGGATTATTTGAATGCATCCTGCAGCAAATATTAAAGAGGCAGAAAACCGAAAGACAAATAAGTCATGGGTGGTGGTGAAGGGAGACAGGGGAAATGGTGTGTGCGAAGCGGGTGGGGCCCCACAATCTTGCTGCTGTTCCTGCTCTCACCTGCTTGCTTCCATCAAGGCCTCATCAACATGCAGAACAACGCTCGGTTCCTTCCCTCTGATCAGCTTACAGCGAGCAGTTGTCAAACACTTCCCTAATCGCAGGTATAATAAACCTTTCCCATCTCCCTGATTCCTGTCTCCGCTGGACAAGCCTGCTGTGAGCTGGGGAAGCTTTGTGCATGCAGATGTCATTTACCTGTTCCAAACCAACACAAACCAAGAGGCATTTCCCATGGCCTCATGGATAGGTTGGTTTCTTAGGAGGACATCAACATCTTGGGATCCCTGGGTTGTATTCAACTAAGTTCATGGAATCATAGAGCTGTATGGTTGGAAGGGAGCCCAAGAATAATCTAATCCAACCCTCAGCAGTCCAGGAATCACAGCTAAAGTATCCCTGATAGTTCCCCATCCAGCCTCTCTTTAAAATCCTCCAGAGAAGGAGGTCCCACCACCTTCTGAGGTAGTCTGTCCCACCGTCAAACAGCTCCTACCATCAGAAAGTTCTTCCAAATGTTTAGTTGGAATCTTCTTTCTTGTTATTTGAATCCATTGGCTCAAGTCCTGCCCTCTGTAGCAGCAGGATACAAGCTTGCTCTACCTTCCCTGGGATGCCCTTTCAAGTACAGTGGTACCTCGGGTTAAGTACTTAATTCGTTCCAGAGGTCCATTCTTAACCTGAAGCACCACTTTAGCTAATGGGGCCTCCCGCTGCCACCGCCGGAGCACGATTTCTGTTTTTATCCTGAAGCAAAGTTCTTAACCCGAGGTATTATTTATGGGTTAGTGGAGTCTGTAACCTGATCTGTATGTAACCTGAAACGTATGTAACCCGAGGTACCACCGTACAGTGGTACCTCTGGATGCGAACGGGATCCGTTCCGGAGCCCTGTTCACATCCAGAAGCAAACGCAACCTGCGACCGCGCGTCTGCACTTGCGCATGCCACGATTCACCGCTTCTGCGCATGCACGTGGCATCATTTTGACCGTCTGCGCATGTGTGAGCAGTGAAACCCAGAAGTAACGCACTCTGTTACTTCCGGGTTGCCGCAGAGCGCTACCCAAAAATACTTATCCCAAAGCTACTTCAACCCGAGGTATGACTGTATTTGAAGATGGCTGTCATATCACCTCTCAATCTTCTCTTCTCCAGGCTAAACATACCCAAATCTTTCAAGCATTCCTCATAAGTCTTGGTTTCCAGGCACTTGATCTTCTTGGTCTCCTTCCTCTGCACATGTTCTGTGACTCACTTAAGCCCAGTAATTTCAGTGGGACTAAAGTCTGCACAGAGTTTAGTTGCATACAACCCAAAGGCATCTCAAGAGGGTAGTCCCCCAACCCGTAAGTCCAGAGGCTAAAACTGCCTAACTTCACCGCTGCAAAAAGCAGCCATGTGACTTCTGTGACCAGTCACATGACAAGCTGGAATGGAATGGCCTGAGGAATTCCAAGGCTATCCTGCCTGTACATTTCCACACATGGGGTGTTGAAACCAGGAAAAATTCCAGAGAATAGAAAGCATGCATGCATGGAAAACAAAGCTGTCACTTACCCATCCTGTATCCTAGATAATAAGTTTTGTTTTTCCCCACCTGCTCCCAATGTGGCTTTGACCTTCCCAGGGCTGCTTCTGTGGAGTTCTGCTCCTGGCCTGTGATCTTTTGTGGGCTGGTGGTCTTCCATTCTGTAGCTGAGCACAGGGCAAGGTCCCAGCTTCTGTCTGTGCCTTTTTCCCTCTGACTCAATGAGCTGGGCTTTTAGTGGCAAAACCTGCCAATGCATCCTGGTAGGGGGCCTTTCCACTAAATTAGTTGCTGGCACAAACGGTCGGGTGGCTGCATTATCTGTTCATCTGGGCCAGCAGTGAGCACAATCTCACAGCACCCGAATTCTACAACAACACCTGAATGCACTCGTGGGCTGGGCGGCGGGCAGGCAAGAAAGATTGCTGCGGCATGCAAGGCAAAGCAGAAAGGGGAGCGAGGTCAACATTGTTTGGCTGTGGGGGGAGTGGGCAGAATTTTGCTGGACCGGCCTGAATTGCATTGGCAAATGAAGGCCATTTGCATAGGCCATTTGCCTGTGCAAATGGCCTTCATTTGCCAATGCAATTCTAGGGGGAGTTGTGGGCAGAGGCAAAGAGTTGTTTTGTCCAGAAAGCACATGAGATTGCACAGATCATACACTCCACACTTGGTGTTTTTTCTATAGGAAGCTGCTTTAGTCTCATTAGACCATTGGTTCCTCTAACTCAGTGCTGCCTACACTGACTGGCAGCAGCTCTCCTGGGTTTCCGACAGGGAGTCTTACCACACCTCTCCCTAGAGATGCTAGGGATTCAACCTGGGACCTTCCACATGTGCATTTTTGTGGGAATATTTCCTTCTATTTTGTGGGTGCCATAGGAGGTCCTAGTGGACCATTGTTTCCATCACCCTTGCTAGTTGAGGCTGATGGGAGATGGAGTCCAACAACATATTGAGAGTCACAGGTTCTCCATCCACCCCCTACGGGCTATTCCACTGAGCCCCAAGTTCTGGAACTCGTTTCTGATATCTCATCTTTCTTTTTTCCCTCCTGGATCATCAGCTTCCCTAGAGGAGTCTTGCCAGATAGCAAAGCTACTCCTTTAGGTCAGCGGAAGTAGAGACATAGCCACAGCTCAGTGGCAGAGCATCTGCTTGGCATGCAGAAGGCCTCAGGTTCATTCCCTGGCACTTTCAGGTAGGGCTAGGAGAGACCTTCCATGGGGCATTGTGGGCTCCTCAGTTTAATTACAAGAAATGGAACCATAGATACAGGAGTGGGAGTGACTCAGCAGAAGGTGGCTTCATATGTTCCTACGGTGCCGGAGAGCAGGAGGAGAGAGGACTTCCATCCCATGTTCCCAGTGATTTTTATCGTCCCCGTTACCAGGAGAGCCAGTGTGAACTTCTGAATCCGGCAACTGGGACACATTGGCACATCGGGGAGCGAACATTTACATTCTCATCATGCCTGGGAATTCCACACACAGTGTGTGCAAAGTGCCCGTCAGAAAGATTTCAAACCCCCTTATTAATCTGCGTCTTTGTAATTTGCTATTTTGATACTTAAGCAACTTGATGGGTTGCATATCCCACTGGGTCTGTAATACCGCAGCGGATGGGGTGGGTGGGGAGAGCCGAGGAGGAGAAGGAGGTGAGTGCAAAGGAAACTGCAGAAGAGAGAAGTGGGCATGAAAGGCAAGCGGCTCTCCCCTCTCCCCATCCCTCTCCACCTCTGTGTGCTGCTTTGGTTCCCATCAGCCTGTCGTGAGGCAGGCAAGCAGGCAGCGTGGACTGTGAATGCTCAATGAGGATCCCCAGACAGGAGTGCCTCGGAAAAGCGATTTCCCAGGAAGGGTAGCCCTGAGCCTGCAAGTCCTGGCAACTGCATGCCCAGCAAGGTGGCCCCTAACCTGATAGAGCTCTTGGTGGCTACTAGCCACAATGGCTACACTCTCCCATCACTTTCAAAACCAGTATGCCTCTAAATGTCAGTTTCTGGGCATTACAAATGGTGAGGGTGCTGTTGCACCCTGGCAGGAGTGCCAGCTTGGCCCTGCAACCATGGGTGCTCAGGGCCATGGGTGTCGTGCAGCATGTATGGCCCTGGTACCAGAATTTCTGGGTACCCAGCCCCTGAATGGGGAATTTTGTAGGGGCACAGGCAGCCAGGGCCCCAGGGAGTTGGCACCTAGGCACCCTGACTTTGTCTGGGGGCTTCTCATAAGTGTCTCATTGGCCGCTGTAAAAGTGGATGAATATGTTGGCAGAAGTGGATGATATTTGCAGGCATGGTAGCCCGTCCGTAGTAATATAGCCTACCAAAAATACAGGCAAATAGATCCTGCAGGTTTTGTGGTGTGTGTGTGTGTGTGTGTGTGTGTGTGTGTGTGTGACACATCTAAAACTTGGGGAGGGTCAAGGCCACCTCTTTTGATGGCATTAATCTTGGCAAATTTAAGGATAGCTTCTGAAAATGGTGGTTTTCTTGCAAGGGCAAGAAAGGGAAAGGGCCCTAGCTCAGTGGTTGAGAGCCCCTACCTGCTTTGCATGTAAGTCCCAAGTCCAATTCCTGATGACCTCTCCAAGTAAGGCTGGGAATATCCCCTACCTGAAATCCCAGAGAAATTTCAGCTCCGCTCTAGAAGAAAACCAGTGGGTCTAACACCTCTACCAAACTGGGCCATGTTCTAGTCTAGGAATTAGTTTTAAAAATCGTCTGATAGCAGAATTTAGAACACGATTGAAGAAAGACCCAGAGGAACAGCGAAGCAGGCCTTCCCCAACCTGGTGCCCCCCAGATGCTTTGGACTCTGATTCCCATCAGTCCCAGCCAGCATTGCCAATTATCAAGGATGATGGGAGGTGTAGTCAAAAGCAACGGAAGGGCACCGTGTTAGGCAAGGCATAGTGGAGGTGTGCATAATGATTGGACAGAGTCATGGCAATGGCAGAGGCTGCAGAGAGGCAAGGCAGGAAGTGTTGTCATTTCCCCCTGACTGCATATGCACTGAGAGCACACATCTAAAATAAACATTTATTACAGCACACAATGCCTCGCCAATAATTGCTAAGGCTGCTGGGAATGGTAGCTCTGTGAGGGGGTAAACTACAACTTCCAGGATCCTTTGGGGGAACAAATGTGTTTTAAAATGTATGGCGCACTGTCTACACAGACTGATTCTACGCCAGAGGGCTGCTTTCCCTCTGAGCCAAGCTGCAAGCGAACGGCAGGATTTTCTCCCCTCCTTGCTTTTATTTCATTTCATGTTTTGCAACCTCAAGCTCCGGCAGTAACTGGGTCACAGGAGCAGTTGGAAGTCAGCCCTGGCTGGAGATGATAGTGGCCACGTGCTTCCCGACGGGTTTCCTCCTTCCCTCCAAGTGACCTTGGCAGCTTGATCGATACCAAGTTGCATCTCACTCCTCACGTCGGCTCAATTTGGAAGGCATCGCCTTGTCATTTAGGCAGCCCTGATTGCCTTAGCGGCCGGCTGCTGGGTCCTTCAAAGGCACTGCTGACGCTCCTTTTTCTCCCCGATCCATTTAAGAGGAGGAACCGGGGGGGGGGATATAATTTGATAGGCTTGAATTGACCAGGTGGGATTCTGAGGGTAGGGATGTCTAAGCCATAGGGGAAGATTTACTGGCCAGGCATGGGGTGCTGGGTGCTTTTACTAGGGTCTGTGTCGTGGGGGCAGTAACAAAATGCCATGGATACTAGAGGGAAATAGATTCATTTCAGCCACAGAAGCCTTTGCCTTCTTGTTCAGGAATTCAAACGATGCCATCTTGTGCAAATCTGAATCTTGCAAGACGGGATATGTAAACAGCCTGCCTTATTATTATTTGCCTAGAAGAAAGTACGCAAAAGTGGGGTGGATTTATAAGCTCAATTCAATCTTATGATTCTTCCCCAACTCCATATATGTCCTTTTCACTTTGTTTTTTAGCTGTCAGCACCAGAACTTTTTTAGTCTGTATACCCAGTGGAGGCTGGCCCATTGGGGTGAATAATAATAATAATAATAATAATAATAATAATTTTTTATTTATACCCTGCCCTCCCCAGCCAGAGCCGGGCTCAGGGCGGCTAACATCAGTAAAATTACAATAAAAACATAAGGGGGGGGAGAAAAGAAAAGAAAACCAATTTAAAATACGGGTTAAAATACAATTTAAAATGCAGCCTCAATTTAATAGTAGCCCATAGATCAAAACCATAAGGGGAGTCCATACCAAAGGCCAGGCGGAACAGCTCTGTCTTGCAGACCCTGCAGAAAGATGTCAAGTCCCACAGGACCCTAGTCTCTTGTGACAGTGCGTTCCACCAAGTCAGGGCCAGTACTGAAAAGGCCCTGGCCCTAGTTGAGACCAATCTAACCACCTTGTGACTTGGGACCTCCAAAGTGTTGTCATTTGTGGACCGTGGGGCATACCAGGAGAGATGGTCCCGTAGGTGTTGGGGTGCTACCCCAACAACTGCTATCTAACCCCAGCCAGCCCCCTTCTTCCTGCCTTCTTGCATACATCCAGTTACCGGGTGACTCTGCTGGTCATTTGTTCTGGCTTCAGCTACTGTTGGTCTCCTGGCCTTCTTCCCTACCAGTCCCAATGGGCACCAATCACCACAGTGGTGGAGCAAGCTTCTGCACCCCACTGATTTTTTTTGGGGGGGTGGCTGCAACCTCTTCTTCCTGAGAGAGAATTTTCTCTCCATTGACCTGCAAAGGGGAAAGGAGTGGGTTGGAAGAATAGCATAAATCTATGGGGAAGTCTGGGGTGGGTAAAATATCAGCCCCAAGCAAAGGCTCTGTTACCTCAAGAGTCATTTGTTGTGGTAGACTTCTTCCACCCACGGATTTCAGGGATACAGATTCTATTCCCCAGGAGATCTCTCTCCATTGATTTGCAAAGGTGGGGATGGTGTTGGGAAAATAGCAGATATTCCCAGGAAAGACTGGAATGGGGAGGGGAGTGAATGTGACCACTCCAACTAAGACCTTGCTACCCAAGGTTGAGGAGGGGTTGCTGTCCCCCAGATGGATTTTTGGAATACAATGGAAATCTCTTACCCACAGGGAAAGTGCAGTTTCGAACCACTCCCTCAAATCACTCCGTTTGGAGTACCCTGGAGAAATCATTTACTGTGGTTAAAAGCCAAACCTGCCTGTCAAACTGGAAGACACCACCACCTCTAAAATCTCCCCATCCCTTCTTGAGCTCTGCACATTTCCCCAGTCAACTCAGTCTCATTTCCTGCAGGGTATGGGCACAATTTTTCATAGCAATGGTCACAAAGCTACTTGAAAGTTGAGGAGTGTAACAGCGCAATATAACTCAGGAAGATGAGGACCTCCCTTGAATGACCCAATTCTCCTTTGTAATTTTGGGTGCACACAGAACTGATGCACTTTGCCAGTTATAGCCCATTCTTGGGCTCAGGATAAGACAACACACTGCATTATGGGAGGCAGAGATGGTCTTCGACTTGGATGGCTTGAAAAGAGAGCTGGACAAATTTATGTAGGACACGGCTATCGATGGCTACTGGCCACAATGGTTACACTCTGCCACCAGGGTCAGATTCAGTAATGCTTCTGAATAGCAGTTGCTGCGAACTGCAGAAAGGGGAGAGTGCTGTTGTGCTCGGATCCTGATTTCTGGTTTCCCATAGGCTTCTGGATGGCCTCTGTGAGAACAGGATGATTGGACTAGATGGGCCTCTGGCCGGATGCAGCAAGGCTCCTCTTCTGTTCTTAGATAAGGAGTTTAGAGGAAATCTCTCTGATTAGTTGGTAAAGATAGTACTGTGAATATTTTAAATGGGATTCATTACTCACTGCGTATTCCAAATTATTTCAAAGCAATGTACAAAAGGTTTTCCAGGAAAGAACGATGCAAGGTACACATTTTTAAAAAACCTGAGAATTAGTAAGCAGCGTGTCTGAGATCATCCCTCTGGGAAGATTTATCTAAATAAGGTTTCCAGCAGGTGACAAAAATGAATGGAGATGAGATAGTATTTATAAGAGGAAACAACATTTAAAGTAGCTCATGGTTAGGCTGCACCAAAGACAATGGGGATGAAAGGAAGGGAACACAACTGTAATCTAAACAAGTTCAGTGTTTTGTTTTGGAATATCAAAATAAATCTGTTGCTTGGAAGCAGCTGGGCAATAAATATTATTTCCAGATCACAGCTG